TTTTAGAATCTATATTTTTTTAGGGCGCCAAAATATACCAATTAGAGGGCATAGAGATAGGGGACGACTTTTTTCTAATCACAGCACGAATGACGAGGATGTCCTTAATAATGAAGGGAATTTTAGAGAACTAATACGGATTGGAGTCGAGAGCGGCGACAATTTATTGGAAAATAAATCTCAAAAGCACATGCTACCTACATAAGCAGCCGCATCCAAAATGAAATAATAGAATGTTGTGGCCAAGAAATCTTGGATATATACTAAGTGACATATAAATCCGAACACCCAGTTTAAATGGTTTTATTTTAATAAAATTTTGTATAAGTACTTAATGAAGCATAATAAGTAAATGATAAAAATTTCAAAATGATTGCACTGCTTTAAAGCCCTTTGACCTTTAATAATGTGTGGATGCACCCTGACGTGCTACGCATTCTCCAACGCGCCTAGGCATGCTTCTGATCAGGTGGTCAATGTCCTCCTGTGGTATCTCATTCCAGGCAACCACCAACTCCTCTCGAAGTGCTTCTAGAGTCTGAGGAGGACGTTGCAAATTGAGCAATCTCCTACCCATCATATCCCACACGTGCTCAATTGGGGATAAGTCGGGAGATCTTGGTGGCCATGGTAAAAATGTAACATCATTATGTCGAAAGAAGTCTATTGTGACTCTTGCAACATGTGGTCGGGCATTATCTTGTTGGAAAGTTGGATCTGCCAGGGTGTCAAGATATGGTAAAAAATGGGGTTCTAGAACTTCGTGGATATAACGCTGCACGTTCATGTTACCTCTGATGAAGATTAAAGGTGACCTGGGACCATAAGCTATAGCACCCCAAACCATAACTCCAACAGTGTGATGAACATGTCTTTCAACAAAAAACTGTGGATTCCTCCTTTCACCACGTCATCTTCTAACCCTGGCACGACCATCGTGCATGCCTAAACAAAATCGAGACTCGTCACTAAAGACAATACTGTTCCATTCCTGATCCCAGAGTGACCGTTGTCTGCACCACTCAAGGTGATTACGTCGGTGTTCTCGAGTTAAAGGGAGGACCCAGTGTGGCCGGTATGAAAACAAGCCAAAACTTCTCATTCGTCGGTAAACACTTCGCATGCCAATAGGTCTTCCGTGTTCTGCAAACCATTCATTTGCAATAGACCTGGTAGTGGAGAAACGGTCCCTTAAGGCCAATAATCTTAGGCGGCGATCTTCACGGTCTGTTGTTCTACGGCGGCGTCCAGTGCCCCTTGCTCTTTGCGTACGGCCTTCTCGAAGCCATGCCTGACAACACCTAACCACAGTGTCTACACTTCTTTGCACTCTAACTGCAATTGCCCGAAAAGAAAGTTCAGCTTCCCGAAGTCCCACTATACGGCCCCTATCAAACTCACTAAGTTGACGAAATCGTACAGGTCTCCATACTCTAGGCATCGTAACCGATCGTAAAGGATGTCAAGAACCAAAATCCGTCAACGTTGATTCTTTACTGCGGCTGAAATATTCATTTTTAGAGCGTTAGTGAATTAAAAAAAAGCAGTATAAAAACCGGAATGTCCAACTGATGAGGCTGAAAATTTTTTCACTTGTTATTTACAGTAAGATAAATACATTCACCAATTTTTATTAAAATAAAATCATTTAAACTGGGTGTTCGGATTTATATGTCACTTAGTATAGTTTTATGTCGCGTCAGGCAAAGTCAGCATTACAGTATTATATTTGGTGAAACTACAGACATTAGCCATAAATCACAAATGTCAATCGTATTGCGGTACTGTTATCAAAAACATATTTACGAGAACTTCATGGGATTTGTGGATTGCTACTCAAATTTTGATGAAGATGCAATGGAGCCCAAACTGACTGGTCAAATTCTTGCGCAAACAGTCAAGCATTTCATTAAAATAATAACTTAGACTCAAAACTATGTGTGGGCATTGGTACTGGTAACCTAATGTTAAGTGAACAAAAGGGCGCTGTAATGGAATTGCAAAAATGTTTGCCAAATGCTCTAAAAAGCCCATGCGCAAATCATGCCTTAAATCTTCCGGTTTCAAAACGCAGCAGTGTCCAAGCAGTAAGAATTACTGTACTCGTAATGAAGGAAGTAATTGCGTTCTTCAAAGCATCCTCTAAAGAAATACAGCATTAAAAAGAAAACTATCCGGATATCAAATTCATAGTATGTGCAAAACACGATGGACCAAGACACATAATTCTGTGCTCCAAGTTGAAAGCAAGTTCGAGAAAATTGTAGAGGTACTAAATATTATATCAAATTGGAAAGACCGCGAAGCTTCTTCAAAGTCTTTGAAGATTGCCATTACTTCCTCCCAATTTATCAGATGACTAAAGTGTTTGTGTGATATATTGGCTTTAACATTCGTCCTGAGTAAGATTTTACAATCAAAAACAAATGAGAAACAATACGCTGTCAAACTCATAGGAAATATTGTTTCAGTTGTACAAGAAAGACGTGCAAATTCCGAAAAACACTTTAGAATACTATTCGCATCTATAATGAAATCACATGAAACCCTGGGTATTGAACTGACTGTGCCAAGAATAACAAACAGGCAAATGAACATCATTACAGACTGAACCTATAACATATGTCCCTCTGCTAGATAATATATTACATGATTTGGTGTACCGGTTCAATGAATAATCTTTGAATATATACAATTTTAATATTTTCTTTGCGTGAGTATTTAATTCAAAAGCTGAAACTGAAGTAATGGGCATATTAGAAACAACCTCTAAATATTTGCATGGACCAAATAGTAACGAAAACAAAAATTTAATAAATACCAGATTAAAAGCAGAATTTGACCTTTGTAAGTGACGTAGTCAAGATATTATAGACAGTGGAATGTCATTGTATTTATCATGTGATGAAAACATTTTTTCTTCAATTAATAGATGTCTGAAAGAAGTTTCTCTCATCTAAAGAGAATAAAAACTTGGCTGCGCTCCACTGGGTTACAAGAGCGATTGGTGGGTTTAGCTCTTTTGTATATGGATATTAAAATTGACGTGAATACAATCATACATCGGTTCGCCAGCAAAAATAATAGGCGCCTTGATTTTGTAATATGCTAACACCTGAACTTTGGCTAAGGTTGTCTCTCAAATCCATCTCCCTTCTGTTGGTAAATAAAGAAGCAGATGTAGTTAAGGGTTTACTTACGATTAAACCACCACGGTGATCTTTTCCAAAGTATCCAATCAAGCGATGTGGTTTTAATTATTGTCCAGGAGATTGATATAAAAGTATGTTCAAATTCTGTTCAAATCACTTTCTTAGCTAATGTAATGCTTGTTTTATTTTGAGACTGTGAACTGATATAGTTTCATAGTTTATATGTTTTTGTTTTTTGAGACTGGCTAAAAGAATGTAGTCATGCAATGTGTGTTTTTCTCATGATTAAGAATTTTATTTTGATTAACATTCAGTTTTATACTTTATAGAAGTCTTAACATATTTGTTATTGTTATTTTTTTTCACGAAGATGTATCTTTTGTTGTTTTGCCTGACATTGTTAGTAGAAAAGTCTGCAATAGATCATATTATTTTGCATTTTTTAATATATGAAGATTGCTCGAGCTTGGTTTGCTTTATTTTGACTTTGACTTCGTATGATTCAAAATTAAAAAAAAAATATGTATTTTCTACAGAAATCACTGTAACATATGTATGCATATGTCCATGCTTTTAATGTTAAAACATTATAACACTGAGAATTTACTTTTCATTTTACCCCTCCCAGACTGAAATCCTGGGAGCGCCACTGTGTTTTGTCAATAGTTTTCATAACAATTTTGAATAAAAGTAGCTCAATTTCGTTGATGAAGCGGTGAACTTCCTTTTTCGATCCATGATTGTTTTTGAGCCTCCTTTGCGTAAGCTGGCATTTTTATTGATAACACACATGCTATAGATCTCTTGAAGCAATCCAATTACTGGATGAGAGATTTCCTGATCGTGTGATCCTAGTTTAGTTGGTCGAAGTTGACCCCTTACACCTGTCCATGAGCTTCTTTCTGCCTAAATTGCACGGTATGTTGTAGATAACGTGTGGTTTTAACAATATAGCATCGCATGTCATATGGCTCGTGAATCAATTCATTTTTTTTCATAGAGAAGCCTAAATATCAGGGCACCGCGAATGCGTAGACTAAAGAAACTGTGTTGATCCGATTTTTGAGCTGGGTTAGTAGAACTGAGAAAAGCTTCCTCCGGTAGATTATTCCATCTCGATACCCTAGGGACAAAGGAGCGGTCGTATCGGCCAGTTCTGGATGTACGTAGTTCGACACGTTTAGCTTGGGAGGCTAAAGCCAGGCGGGTCTGTCTGGCAGGCACATTGCTCGATCGACGGCTTCATGGAGGAGAGCTGGGCCCGTTGGCATAGTTGATCGCTGACGATCCGTCGGCTGAAAATGATTCCAAGACTATCCGTTAGAGAAGAGTCACCGATCAGTCGAACATCTCTCCTCTGCACAGCATCGAGCATGGATAATGTAGTCGGGGCGGCAGCACCACAAATATGTGGACAATACTCGAGGCTAGGCCTTATCTGGGTCTTGTATGGAGTGAGAAGGTTACACAGTGGGAAGGCTATGTGAACAAAAGTACTTTCTAGCTCTAAGCAAATAACCTAGCTTTTTGTCAGCAGCTGCCGCTATTAGCCAGATTTGCTGCATTGGACATGCCTTGTCCGTTCTGATGATCACAGTTGCCCAATAGATCGGGTGACACCATTGGATTTTTTTAAATAGACTTATTTAAAGTCAAGGATCTATGCCAGTAATCCTACAAAGACAATAATGCACTGAAGGAGATAATTCAACGTTGCGTATCAACTGCAAGACCTTTACGGTTTATTGAAAAAGAATAATATTCTAAAAAAGGAAAAGTGTATTTTCTATTTGATGCAGCCGTGAATTTTGTGACTGCCGATTTTAAACAATTTTTGTATTCTTTCAGTTAAACAGAGGAGCATGGGAGAATTCAAGGAGACCTTGGGAATCAATGAGATCAAGTCTAAGAATAGCAACCTCCCAAAGGCTCTGCTAGCAGAGTTTTTGGGAGTACTGCTACTGAACCTTTTTGGATGTGGCAGCGTAGTTCTTTCCGATAGCAACAAGACCGTTGTGATACCCTTAGCTTTCGGATTAGCTATTTTTGTGATCGTGCAGGTTAGTAGTTTGTTGTCTTCTGACCAAGTATATTATTTCATAATTTCACTGAAAAACTCAACTTTAATTGTTAGCCACCAGAATAAAACTTAAAGAAGAACAAATAACCGGAGAAAATACCATCATTGACCGCAATACCCCACTGAGAAGTAACCTTTCTGTGCGTAGCCAAATAATAAATAGTAGTAAATAAAGAATGTCTCTTGAAGTTGTATCCAGTGATGTCAGTCTATATTCTGAAATGTGAGAATTAGCTCGACATATAGCTACTCTTCTTAAGTATGTTGATAATCGGAAAATGGCATTCATTGCTAGCAGAGTGAAAACACAAGGGGTCGTTCAAATATTATGTAAGCAGACTTAAAATTAAGCAAATCTGTTACCCCCTTCCATGTCCATGTAAAGATTGGTAGAATTATCTTTAATATATTCTGGTTTCTAGACTGATTCGTAAGGAGCCGTTATCAAGCCTAAAAACGAGAAAAACGCTTAGAATAAAGAAACTTAACGTACATAATATTTATTCAAGCAAATTATTAACACGGTAATTTGCTAACTCGACGAGCAGCCACTCTGAAAGGTCTTATTTTTGTTCCATTGTACGCGTTTACTTTATTATTTTGTGAATTCAGTCGAATCTGTTTAGGATTGATTCCCGATCGGTCCTAACGGCGCTCCATTTTAGGTCGAAATGAAAGGTCAGGATCGCCATAAATTGGTTCGCTTGGCAACGCCGCATCTCGTACATCCCAAGGCAAGGTTTCCACCTCCATGATCACATAATGAGCGATGTCCTTCGAAATGGTTTTCACCTGCGCACACGCAGGCAGTGATAACTTGTATCGCGCAATTATATTTGTTACACTTTACGACCGCTCGCTGTCGCAAAATGTAACAATAACTCAGGTTATGTTGATTTTATCACCAAAGGTAATTCTATGATGAATTAAAACATTAAGTGGCATCAAAATTGAAATAAATAGATAATTCTAATCAAAGTGAAAACAAAATATTGAATTAAATGTTCAAATAGACCTCCTTCTTGGGTAACCTAGCCTATTGTAGAAGCCTGTGCGAACATTTTCTGGTGTAACTTATTGGGAACGCGGCAGATTGCGCGACCTTCTGCGTCACCGTTGCTAGGCAATGTGGTGAAGACCTCCTACACACTTATCCTGCTTCTCTCTCATTCACATTGAACTCAAGCCGTCAGACAAATTTGGTTTTCCCTGTATGTGAATATTTCGTGTATGCATATAAGAATCAGAACTCTTATACCCTGAATTGTGACTTTAATGAAACCTTAAATAAGTTGTTTTTTGTCTTTTAATAAATCAAGCACGCAAAAGCTTCCCTGAATCAAGTTATAGCTCCAAAATTAAACAATTTTTGATTTTACTCAGTAAGATTAAGTCTGATGCTGTTAGTGTCTGTATTGTAGTTTGTTTTATAGGACTCCAATGTACTTTTATTTTAATGTTTTGCATTTTAGAATTGCAATTGTACTGATTTAAATGCATTTATGCATTTGTTGACCCGAGGAATGATGCTTCTAACATCAAATACTTGGAAATAAATTTCTCGATCTTTTGCCGCTGGCTAAATCTGATTTCTATTGCATTCCTTTGATTTTGTCACTTTGACAGCAGATTACCGGATAAATTTGTAAAATGGGTATAAAACGTCATGATTGTTAGATTTACGTATACGTTAGAGTAAACGATACTATACAATGAAAATATGTAAATCTTATAAAATCGAACGTAGTGATATATATGTATACTGTTAGTAGGGACAGAAATCTATACATACCTTGATGAGGAGGCCATCATTGATCTTGCACATTATATCCCTCGGCGCTACGCACCTTAGGCTAAAAGTGATCTGAAAGGTTCACTTCTCAACCTAGGTATGTAATCTACTATTACTGTGTTTCATTTCTAGGCGCTTGGACACGTAAGTGGGGCTCACCTTAACCCGGCCGTGACAGCAGGTCTCATGTCAACAGGCACCACTCCCATATTACGAGGAGTCTTATACATTATAGTGCAGTGCTTAGGAGCATTAGCAGGATCTGGATTATTAAAGGTAAACTCTTTAAGAGGAAACCATAAAATCTCATCATCTCAGCTTACATTTTTTTCCCTGCCAAGAAAATATTATTTAATGAAAAACTTTTTTTAACTAGTTCAGAACATATACATTCATATACAAAAAAACGTTATTTGAAAATATACTGATAGATTAAATAAAAAACGGTTTCTCTTGAATAATTCAATGTTCATAATATTTTTTTTGAATAATTATATCACTTTGCAGGCACTAACTCCAGAAAAACTGCATCAGTTTGGACTAGGCAACACAGCTATCAATTATGACGTGATCACAGCACTACAAGCTTTCGGAATCGAATTCTTCCTAGGTAAGATCTACAATAAGAGAGACAACTCAGTAGTTAAGGAAGTAGTTCTTGAATTTAGAAAAATTTTACTTTTTAATTACTACGGCTCCTGAAGATTGGCAAGTCGACAGTCCTACCAATCAACTGTAGCAAACACAACAAGGACAAGATGCTTCAAAGCTTAAGTGTGATTTTGTAATTCTTTTTGTATTATTAAGAACCATAAGCATGACGAACAATTTCAAACAATAACTTTACATTTTGTTCTATTATGCGAACCATAGATATTAACAATCCTAATCGAAAACTAAGCTAAGCTGTCTTATTGAGGCGTGACCCAGTGTCCGAGTCCATAATTCTGTTGGTTCGGCTCTACAGTTGGTCCAAAATATGTTGAAAGATTCAATTTACTTCCAGGTTTTATCTTGGTTCTCACCGTGTGTGGAGCCTGTGACCCCAACAAACCAGAAATGAAGTCAACAGCACCGATAGCTATTGGACTGGCTGTAGCGTTAGGGCATCTCACCTGTATGCCATTTACTGGAGCTAGCATGAATCCAGCTAGAAGTTTTGGATCAGCTGTCATCGCTAACATTTGGGACGACCACTGGGTAAGTCAAGTGATCTAAACGTTAATCATTCCAAACTCGGACAAAACTTGATTGTATTTTACAGCTAAACAATTTTACATTTCAGTAGGAATAAAATAAATAAATTGATATTAGCAACCGCACAATGGTTGAATGCGAGAAAATAGTGCAGTATGAAAACATTTGTTTTATTCTTAGGTCTATTGGGCTGGACCAATCTTTGGTGGTATTGCGGCAGCTCTTCTTTACAAACACGCATTCCAAGCTCCAAGCTTAGGTCCGCTGAAAATCATCGAGAGGTATACAACAGTTGTCACGGACGAGAAAGAAGTAAGTACCAAGAAACTAATCATTTGTTCTCTGGATTATGTTCCACTCACCGGTAAGTTACATAATGGAAGATTCAAACTAGAAACGATGCAAGTTTATACGGCATTCTTAATATACATTCTTGCAAAGAAGTTCTTAACGTATGCTGACGTTGAGATACAGAATGAAACTTCATGCAAGTATGTCGGAAAGTGTTTGTGTTTCGCTTGCCGTTTCTGTTCTGCTTTTTATATTGGAAAACGCTAGATACTGCTTTGATACTAATCAAGATGAGTTATTTGTGATCTAGCCAGTTGGTCGTTAGCCAGAACCATTAACGAAAAGGGTTATTAATATTATTTATTAGAGTAATATAAGTCTGGATTTGAACAACTTTGGGAATTCGACAATGTATTGCAGCTAGTATTAAAAAACATACCGAGTTTCCTACTTTTATATTCTTGAAAACTGGGCGAAAATTGAGTTACGGATCCGTGAAAAGAAATGATGTGATTCCTTCATAGATCAGTAGAATTAGTACCGGCGTATGCAAGGATTTGGGGAGCATTTGACAAAGATGCAGATGCTTAATATGTCAAAAATATTTATATTACCTTTTGCACTGTGTCTACTTCCAGAAAGCATGCCGTTGGCCGCTTTGTTCGATAGAGAGACTGAATAATGGACTTCTCATTGTAATTTTATATTTTCCAATTAATTGCCTCACAAATCTCTTTATATTATATACTAAGTGACATATAAATCCGAACACCCAGTTTAAATGGTTTTATTTTAATAAAAGTTGGTGAATGTATTTATCTTACTGTAAATAACAAGTGAAATAATTTTCAGCCTTATCAGTTGGACATTCCGGTTTTTATACTGCTTTTTTTTAATTCACTAACGCTCTAAACATGAATATTTCAGCCGCAGTAAAGAATCAACGTTGGCGGATTTTGGTTCTTGACATCCTTTACGATCGGTTACGATGCCTAGAGTACGGAGACCTGTACGATTTCGTCAACTTAGTGAGTTTGATAGGGGCCGTATAGTGGGACTTCGGGAAGCTGGATTTTCTTTTCGGGCAATTGCAGTTAGAGTGCAAAGAAGTGTAGACACTGTGGTTAGGTGATGTCAGGCATGGCTTCGAGAAGGCCGTACGCAAAGAGCAAGGGGCACTGGACGCCGCCGTAGAACAACAGACCGTGAAGATCGCCGCCTAAGATTATTGGCCTTAAGGGACCGTTTCTCCACTACCAGGTCCATTGCAAATGAATGGTTTGCAGAACACGGAAGACCTATTGGCATGCGAAGTGCTTACCGACGAATGAGAAGTTTTGGCTTGTTTTCATACCGGCCACACCTTTAACTCGAGAACACCGACGTAATCGCCTTGAGTGGTGCAGACAACGGTCACTCTGGGATCAGGAATGGAACAGTATTGTCTTTAGTCACGAGTCTCGATTTTGTTTAGGCATGCACGATGGTCTTGCCAGGGTTAGAAGGCGACGTGGTGAAAGGAGGAATCCACGGTTTTTTGTTGAAAGACATGTTCATTACACTGTTGGAGTTATGGTTTGGGGTGCTATAGCTTATGGTTCCAGGTCACCTTTAATCTTCATCAGAGGTAACATGAACGCCCAGCGTTATATCCACGAAGTTCTAGAATCTCATCTTTTACCCTATCTTGACACCCTGGCAGATCCAACTTTCCAACAAGATAATGCCCGACCACATGTTGCAAGAGTCACAATAGACTTCTTTCAACATAATGATGTCACATTGTTACCATGGCCACCAAGATCTCCCGACTTATTCCCAATTGAGCACGTGTGGGATATGATGGGTAGGAGATTGCTCAATTTGCAACGACCTCCTCAGACTCTAGAAGCACTTCGAGAGGAGTTAGTGGTTGCCTGGAATGAGATACCACAGGAGGACATTGACCACCTGATCAGAAGCATGCCTAGGCGCGTTGGAGAATGCTTAGCACATCAGGGTGCATCCACACATTATTAAAGGTCAAAGGGCTTTAAAGCAGTGCAATCATTTTGAAATTTTTATCATTTACTTATTATGCTTCATTAAGTACTTATACAAAATTTTATTAAAATAAAACCATTTAAACTGGGTGTTCGGATTTATATGTCACTTAGTATAGTTTAGTGATTGCAAATATTGCTTTAAGGTTGCGTATTTACTTCCTCCTACTAAATAATATTTTAAAATTATTTATTCAAAATTGCTAGGTCACTGTAGACATTGAATTTCACTCAATAATTATCCCCTCTACAATGAAATACAGTACGTAGACAGCTAGAAGAAACAAAAAGACAAAAATAAGTAGGTCGTCGTTCGAAATATTTCTAATATAAGAAAACACAGGTGCACAGACTGGTTTCCAGTTAGTTAACATTTGTCATTCTTTTGTTTAGCTGAAGAGATTAGATGGCGCTAGAGACGATTTGGCTTGAGATTCCCCGTACCCAACGAAGACTATACATCATCTCGCACATCCAGATACCACTCATTATTTATAATAAGTTCATACCTATTTAAAAGTGTTAGTTATTAAGTTAGGTCTAAGCTTTATTATGGCAAATACTCAAAGAAATGCTTGCAGTTTCGAATAAATGGTAGTTTTTAATACTGTATATTTATGGAGCGCTTATAAAACTCTGATGTCTCAAACTTCCCATATCTTTCTTGTATAGGTTGCGTTTAACACATGAAGAAGATTTGACTCTCATTTTTGGACATAATTAGACTATTAAGCGATTTTTAACTTTTTTGAGAACGTCAGGTGATACTATTTGTGTCAGTTGCCACTACAAGCTTCTTACCTTGATAATTTAGAAGTTACCGATTATTTGCATTTAGGGACATCGTTTTTCTTTGCAGAAAAACGTGGCGTCCTCACAATTCCAACAAGCTGCTACAGTCATCCTTGATGATACTCTACCAGATTGCTGGATTGGACAATGAAGACGCTCTAGGAAATATCTATTGGACTTCACAAAGATAATTGTAGGCATATTTAATTAACTGATTGTGACTCAGTAGGATGACTTATGTTTTGGCTTTGGGAAAAAGTGCATAAAAGAATCGGTGATTCCCGATGAATTTCAACGTTGTCATGCTTTTAGGAGCAAAGCCTATTTTTTAAGAAAAGCTCTTAGCAAATACAAGAAAATGTGAAAGCTGAGACATCAGAGACTAGATTGAAGCTTTTACATTAAATGTTGAAGTTCTGTGCGTTCGCATCGAAAAAATATGTATGAAATGGTCAAGAGGTACAGTGAAAATAGTGTATATCGAGCCACTACAAAATAGTAACGACTGTTCATATTTCTTGCTGCCTAATAGCTCAGATATATTTTTTTATCATGTCGTCGTTACTGTAGGATGCAAGCAACTGTATGTAATAACACTTTTTTAATAAATAATTCAGAACAAAATCCTATTCATCATTTTTTCATTCCGTGATTCTCATATAATTATTATTAAATATAAAGAGATACAGGGTAGCCAATATATAACTGACAGATTTAACCTGCGCGTCATTTTTGATACACGCATTAGAGTAGTTGTGTCCGATTCATCATGGAGCGATACACGATCCCACAACGTGTCCGTATTGTTAAAACGTTTTACTTAAATAATGAGTCGATTGTTGCAACGATTCTGAAGCTACGACAAGATTTCGGTCGAAATAATGTGCCGAGTGTCAACACCATTCGTCAGTTGGTGCAGAAATTTGAATAAACAGGTAAAGTTAAGAACTTGCCAAGGTCGGGCCGGGCCGTGTTCAAACTGTTCGTACTCCAAAAATTATAGACAGAGTTCGTGAAAGTGTATTGAAGCGCCATGAGACGTCTACCAGACATCGTTCTCATGAACTGGGTATTTTTCGCATGCCATTATGCACTATTTTAGAGAAAAACTTGCAGCCATACAAAATTTAGTTAACCCAAGAACTACAGCTTAGTGACCATGAAAGTCCCCGACAATACAGTCATGCAATATTTCAGGTTAATACCTAAAATAACTAATTTTACCGACAACTGATAATGAGTGATGAAGCCCACTTCGATATCAACGGGTTTGGTAGTAAGCAGAATTGTCATATCTGGGCATTAGAGAACCCTCGTATCATCCATCAATGACCACTACATTCTCGTCGAGTCACAGTTTGGTGCGGTGTTTGGTATCTAGGTGTCATTGTACCTTACTTCTTTGAAGACGCGGCAGGTAATCCTCTTGCTGTAACTGGCGAGGGCTACCGTGATATGGTGCAAAGCTTTTTGGCTCCTGAAATCCAACAATTCAACCTGCAGAACATGTGGTTCCAGCAAGACGGAACAGCTTGTCACGCAGCAAGGGAAACGATGAGAATGTCAACTGGCCACCAAGGTCACTGGATATAACGGATCCTGACTTTTTTATGGGGATTTTTGAAGAATAGGACGTTTGCCAAAAAATCAAATAATGTAAAGTAGCTGAAGAGCAATATTACGGAAGCGATTGAAAATATTCCTCCCGAAGCATACCAAAAAGATTAAGATGAAAAAATGGACGTATTTTATTTCATTCCACAAATATTCAAGATACAAACCAGTCAGTTACATATCGTAGTTTTCCGTCAAAATGAAACACCTCCTTTCAAATAATATTTATTATATTCATCAATCACATTTAAAAATAAAAGTTTCACTTATCCAAGTTCTTTGGTACTTATAGAATATTTACAAAATATGAAGATAATCACAAAATATAATTTTTCTTCACAACTAACTGAAATGTAAGTACTAGCCTAGTATATCCACATTCAAAACATCCTACGTAACTATTTGTTCTCTACATATTATCGGATTTGCAGTGTTGGCCAATCATAATCACTACCAGCTCACTAATACAGGGTTATCCAAATTAAGTGTCCACCATTAGTAACTTTGTTATTAGTGAAAATACAAAGTTGTTTGAATTAGCAAACTAGTAGCATTTTTAACGCTGGTAAAAATGAGAAATAAAAAAAACAATTGAGAGTCGTTATTTTGATTTTTTTCAGTAAAATAACATTTTTTTAAATGGAAACCCCTGTATATTATATTTTTTTCTGTTAAAGCATCAAATTTTAAACAAAAAAGCTTACAATAACTTTTCTCCTAGGTTACAAATTGTTGAAGTTATGGCCTCCAATCTGAAACAATTAAATTGTATCGACAAACTTTATTTTCAACATCAACTTATAATCTTACAAAATACAATAACAATTTTTTTTAAAGAAGATGCTCGAAAACACCACCTTGTTCTTCAATACATTTTTGGGCACGTTTTTCAACTGCTCGAACTGTCTTAAGTATGGTCCTACCATCTATCTGGGTTATCTTTTCCCTAACTGCAGTCTTTAACGCGTCAAGGTTATCGTACCTTCGCTTGTAAATTTGGTTCCTTAAGTAACCCCACAAGAAGTAATCAAGTGGGTTTAGATCTGGTGATCTGGGAGGCCACTGTATTGGGCCATTTGTTCCTATCCACTGATCATTAAAAGTAGTACTTAGAAAATGATAAGTACCTCTGGAGTTGTGGGCAGGTGCGCCATCTTGCTGAAAATGCACATGATGTCTACTTATAAGATCCAATTCGTCTAAGAAATTAGTCAGAATTTCTGACATAAATTCCACATATCTTTCACCAGTTAGGGTTCCCTCATAAAAGAACGGGCCAACAATTTTTGAACCAGTTATACCGCACCAAACGTTGAAACTGAAACGGACTTGTGGGCCTCTTGGATGTACTAACAAAAGATTTTCTCTTGACCAATAATGGTGGTTTTTTCTATTAAACATTCCAGAATTTGAAAAATTTGATTCATCTGTCCATAAAAGGTAACGAAAGTTATTTACATTTTGGCGACAGAAGCTAAGATACCAATGGCAAAAAACAAGTCTTCTCTCTGGATCCCCTGCCAAAAGCGTTTGAACTGGTCGGTACTTATACGGAATAAATTTGTATTTTTTTAAAATCCTTTGAACAGTACCATAACTGAAATTAGAGTCCTTGAGAATATCTGCTATTGAATTCTCACGATAAGCTTCAAAATATCCAATAACTGCAATTTCCGTGGCCTCGCTTATTATGAATTCTTTTTTTGCCCTTGTTTTAGCAAAAACATTTTCGTTGCCCCTAAATTTTCGATAAAGTCTCAGAAAATATCGTTCATACGGTTGAATGCGAGCGGGATATAATTCACTGTAGCTCTCAAGGAGGATTTTCTGCACACTAAATAGCATTCAAACATATCACACTTTTCTTCATGGGAGAACATTTTTCTTTAAATTAATGACACAATAAAGCTTATAAACAAGTATTTACACTAATGTTTGACATTATTTGATTTTATCATTGTTTTCCAAAGCCTTCTAGTTGCGAGTATGTCCAGTTTAACAATTTGTCGCTTATCTTAATGCTGTATCGCGAACGCCATGTTGTTTTCATAGCCGTCTTAATATTATAATACTGCAAATAATTAAAAATATTTATCGTTATTTTGACTTTATTTTTGATTTTAGCGGAAAAGTCATTATGAACTTTTTTGTTTAAAATTTGATGCTTTAACAGAAAAAAATATAATATACAGGGGTTTCCATTTAAAAAAATGTTATTTTACTGAAAAAAATCAAAATAACGACTCTCAATTGTTTTTTTTTTATTTCTCATTTTTACCAGCGTTAAAAATGCTACTAGTTTGCTAATTCAAACAACTTTGTATTTTCACTAATAACAAAGTTACTAGTGGTGGACACTTAATTTGGATAACCCTGTATATTAGTGAATGCAGCTTTATCCCCAGAAATAGAAAGATCGGTGTTAAGATTAATCTAACACAGATTTTTAACATACATTTACAGAAAGCGTGCTTTTCTATGCTGTGCTGAAAGTTGCCTAAGAGTATTGGAGAATTTTTGTGATAGTTATCATGCAGTGGCCAACATCCAGTTTAACTTTTTATTCAGTAAGTCAGTCAGGTACTTAATTTAAACGATACGTTCAAATGCATATTATAAACTATGATATGTCCCAAACTCCATCTTTCTTACAAAGTCAACCACCATAAATTCCATAAACTTTCTACAGACCCTCAACGATAAACTTTGAAATGTTTAGTCTATAACAGTCACTTAATACCGTTATTGTCAAAAATATATGGTCTACAGTTAATAGTAAATAATTACAGAAATATAATCCGGTCAAAATAGATTTCGGATCAGTCAAAATCCATGAAGTTTGTTGACTCCTGTTCCCAAATTTTCATCTATCGTAATACATACTAAAGCTCCTTTGATAGACTCCGCTATAGAACTTAGCTATAGTGGTATAGGAATGTTGGCTATGTCTGAAAGCCTACTTGGACCGGACTATTAGATCATCGAGTATCTACGATTTATTTCTTATGAGGCCATTTAACTAACTACGACTAATTTCTAGACATATGAGTATTTTGCATTTCAAAATGATTCATGTGCAGGCTATCTAGTGTAGATTTAAATATGAGGTATGAAATATTCCGTACAGACTTTCCAGTAATATTTGTCACCTTTTGAGAAATGTCTGTGGAGAGACGATCTAAGAAATTCAACAAGTTAAGTGATTTTTGGACCAGCCTATATATTAGTTGTATAAGTAAAATATTGACATTGCTATCTGGTATCCTTCTCTTTCGGTTTCAGTCATACTTTCAACTTACAACAATGAAGCAATTATCCATTTCAACTGACAGGCGCAGTTTAGATTCTGTCACCCCCAAAACTGCATACATATATGCTATTCCAGGAAGAATTAGTACTACCAAATCAACACGATTTTTGAAACTCCTAAGGTTGGTGCTTGGTTTACAACCAAAGATACGTAAGTTGTAAATGTAGTAACATCAACCTGAACAATTACACAAAATGTCAACGTAACACATGGCTTTGAAGGCATATCATTGGACATGTTTACATCGGCAGAGGTAATTATGTAAAAAGCCTCAAAGACGTCAAGAAAACCGACGATATGTCATCTTGCAACCTAGGTAGTTCTTAAAGTGCAAATAGTTAATTACATGTTTACTCGCTATCATGGGGAACTAACTCGTAGCTTGCAGCATGTTCATTTATCGTGTCGTGGCGAGGAGTCATTCCTTCACAGAACTATTTGCACACTAGGCACCATCTCGGCAGCAAGTTGACATTTTGTCGATTTTCTGACGTTTTATAGGTTTTATGCGTAATAGCCCTGCTCGTGTTAACGTTCGGTCTTGTGGTTAGCCACCCACGGTGTAAACATGGCGATTATCGAGAGCAACCAGTTCAACTGCCAATTTACTAAATCAAAAACTGCATCATTCCGCTCCCTCCGCCTTTTTCTGAAAATTGAATTTCCATAAAAAATATAACATTTCATTCTACTTAGTATCTATTGTCAAACTGTGTCTTGACAAAGTACGTAGTTAGCGTGCCTTTTCCTTTGACATAAGTAGGTCCTCTGCATTCACATTGGTACCCCGCATTCATTAGCACCGTAGCGGTGACGTCAGTAGCCTGTATCCTTCCTAGAACTCCACATGAGTCCATTCGTGAGGCGACATTCACTGTGTTGCCCCAAATGTCATACTGGGGCTTCTGTGCACCTACCACCCCCGCTATCACTGGGCCATGGTTTAGCCCTAGAAGAATTAAACAAGGATACAGAAGTGTTATTCTGCAAATATCGGCAAGAGTCCTAGGGCAAAAAACAGATTAAAAACAAAAATTTCATATAAACATGGTTCGCAAAATGCCCCATCATGAAGAGGGGGTGTTGAAGTTTTAACTTGGAAATTAAACAAATATACCTTTGTAGCGGATTAAGACATTGACAATTTTGAACATATATTACGGACACCTACAGAGGAAAAAAGAAAATTGGTTTCTACGTGTTATTTGAACAATAGTCATATTTTGTCCTTATTTTACAAAGACCTTATATTTTTGAACTAATACATTCCAGGACATACCTTTATAGAAACTTATAGTACTTATTTTGGACGTAGCTTCTGAAAGTATCGTCATTTTTTCTAATCACCCTGTATATATTGGTCTCTAGTACCTGATAATGAAATAGAAACTATTATCCACGCAATACATCTATTCATCTATACCTGAAAACGACCTCTCTGTTGAGTACTCACATTTTTTATAATTTTTGCAAAGGATCATGAAATCGTCAGGAATAATTTCGGGTAACAAATCGATGCGATCGTTACTTAGACGAAAAGTTATTTTTGCGACTGGAATTTAAATTATTATACAAAATTTACCATATTCCTCCTAAAAGTGAATCCACAAAACTTCGACCTTGTTAAGTAAAATGCTGTCCAGATATTCTTTCTACATGTCTAATAGGTCTAATAGACAAATAGTAAGATTTTCGACGAGAAGTCATTTTTTCTATTTTTGTTTTACTAGTTATTATATACTTACCTACTCTTAGTTTGAACTTCTGAAAAGCATCCCTGTTGATCTGTTCTAAGCTTGACATCAAAAGTACCGCGAAATCCACCAATGCTGTAATGATGTGCTCTTCTTTTCTTGTTGCTTCCTAGAAATAAAGAATCATCAATATTTTAAAAATATTATTATTCTTAATGTCAGCAAAACCACCTATTAAAAGCGTATGCTGCAGAATCTAAGTAAAGCGAAGCTTATTCATAGCATTTCTCAAATGAACTTTCATCGAAAAACATGATGTCTTAGAAGTTAAGAAATTGAATAGCAATCTGTATATGAGCAGCAGATTAACTATTTTACTTTCAAGGATGCATGGAGAAGATTCTAATTTGTATCCGTATTATGAGATAATTATCTAGAAGTTTTCTCTTTCTGCGTAAGTTACTACAGAATCATGAGCAAACACAATGCCAAATTTTCAAGTTCACCATTTTCTTGTAAAATTTCAAAAAACTCAAAACATGTCATTGGATGTGCCACCATAGGAACATTACAATGAAAACGTGCAAAGGTAATTCTAAGCATTCCTAAACTTTTAGTAAGAAAACTTGAAATAAACTTCACAATGAAACTTTAAACAAACTTCGCAAAGCAAGCCATTGTTTTCCTTTGCTATGTGAGTACAAGAAAATACGAATGATTATTTTGCCCGTGTAGCTTAGCGAACAATGTGTAGTGTTTAAGCTTACAGTTTCTATTCTATGTTGCAGCTTCAGTTACCTTTAGACCGTCCTTATTTAATCGTGGATAAATTGGAACAAAAGATGTTTCAAAAAGACGCAGATCTCATCGCACTTCATCTACCCCAATAAAGTTTTGGTCCAAATGCAGTTCGTCGACAGAGAAATACGTTAGACTTTCTATTTTATTTCAAAGGTAAGTCTTGTGATATACTTTGGCTGACATTTATATCAGAAGATAATGACAAGGTGTACCGTTGCCAGAATTGAGTTGGCCATATTATCACGGGAATGTATTGGGGTGAAACAACGAATTCAAATAGGTTAGAAGAAGGCAAGCATATATGTTTACATTGCATTGTTTGTCGCCAAAATTGTGTAGTTTTAGTACATACTTTTGACCCATTTGGTTACTGTTGCCCTACCAAAGCGACCAATTAATACATCGGAGTACATTTTTTTCTATTTAAGTAGCCAATCGTACTATAGGGTGGCCAAACACGTGACGTCATAAAAAAAAATTAGATTCCCCACATCGAGAGGAACCCAAATCACCCCCATATATATGGTCCGATTTTGTTTAGTTTAGGAGTTATGATTTTTTTCGGATTTTTCGAGAATTTTTGAGTTCTGCGTTTATTTTTACCATAACTTCGTTAATAATTGTGATAAATGCCTGCTTTTTTCACGATTATGTAGCTAAGACCTAAGGCTTAACTATCATATAATCATTCAAGTCATGTAACTAATACTACTTTTTAATTTTTTTCAAAATCTTCGAACATAACAAAAAAGTAAAAAAGTGCAACAACTTTGAACGTTTATAAAAAATTGAAAAAACTTGTTCTTACTATTCGTAAGTATCTTAAAAACTTCCTTACGGTATCAGCTATTTACCGTAAAAATTTCATCAACCTAGCTTTACTACATGCTACCGTAATTGTGACTCAAATAGAACCGAACCCAAAATTGGATAACCCTCTGCTCAATAGAAATTGTTAGTTTCTGAAAAAAAATTTGCAAAAACCACAAAAACACGTTTGATTTTTACTGAACAGCAGATTATTATTCATTTATGTTATTTACAAGAGGTTTTCAAAATGTCTGCCTCTAACAGAAATGCACAGTGTATACGTACACCTACGTATGAAATTTTGTTTTAAATCTCTAAATGCTTGTGTGTTGTTTTTCAACACATGTGTCGCTTCTTGAATTTTGTTCCTCAATGAATTTTCATTTGCACATTCTTGGGCGAATGTTATGTCTTTAAAATATCCCCAAACAAAAAAATCAATGGGGTTGAGGTCAGGGGAGCGTGGAGGCCATCGTATCGGTCCGTTTCGTCCGATCCATCTGTCTGGGAACCTTTCGTTTAAGTAGTTTCGCACGATCGTTGCATTGTGGCATGGTGCACCATCATTCTGGAACACCATGTTCCGTCTGGCTTCCAGGCTTGAATCTTCCAGCAATAATGGTAGGCTATTTTCAAGGAAGCTTTTGTAGGCTACCGAATCCAACCTTGACGGCAGTTCAAATGGACCGATAAATTCCATATTGAATATTCCTGACCACATGTTCACACTAAAACGGTGTTGAAATGTCGACGGCCTTGACTGGTGGGGGTTTTCAACAGCCCAAGTATGTAAATTATGGATATTGAATATCCCTGTTCTTTCAAAACGTGACTCGTCAGTCCATAAAATTTTATCAAAAAAATCGGGATCCTCTCGTTGTCTTCGCAGCATTGTCTCGCAACCAACAGAGGACACGTCATCACCACCGACCAGCCACGTCATCTACGGCACAGGACACGTCAGCCGTTCTGGTATAAATAACCCCGAAAGGCTAAGTCACCTGCAGACGAAATAAGAGACCATATCAGCCGAAACCTCGTGCTCTAAAAAATTGGATATTCCGGGACTCTGCTTTGCATACTGATTTGGACTTTGTTTGCTAAGAAGTTTGTGATGCATTATACGTTGCGTGAATATGCAGAAATGCATTATTATTATGGCGTTGCTCAAGGCAACGGCGCTTTAGCAGCTCAGCTGTACCGGGAACAACTTATACGCCGAGGCGGACCACAACCTGAGCATTACCCAGACCACCGTGTTTTTATTAACACACATAACACTTTCATGGCAGGCCGCATTCCAGGACGAGGAAGCAATGAAGGATATCCTACAGCTGATCCGGATCGCAGAGAAGTAGTACTTGAAGAAATTAGCCGGAATCCCTCAACGAGTACGAGATCTATGGCACAAAACCTTAGAATACCACGAACATCGATACAAAATATTCTTCATGAAGAAGGTTATCATGCCTATCATGTTCAAAGAGTTCAAGCGTTGATGCCTTCAGATTACCAGTTAAGAGTGGATTTCTGCGAGACAATGCTGCGAAGACAACGAGAGGATCCCGATTTTTTTGATAAAATTTTATGGACTGACGAGTCACGTTTTGAAAGAACAGGGATATTCAATATCCATAATTTACATACTTGGGCTGTTGAAAACCCCCACCAGTCAAGGCCGTCGACATTTCAACACCGTTTTAGTGTGAACATGTGCTCAGGAATATTCAATATGGAATTTATCGGTCCATTTGAACTGCCGTCAAGGTTGGATTCGGTAGCCTACAAAAGCTTCCTTGAAAATAGCCTACCATTATTGCTGGAAGATTCAAGCCTGGAAGCCAGACGGAACATGGTGTTCCAGAATGATGGTGCACCATGCCACAACGCAACGATCGTGCGAAACTACTTAAACGAAAGGTTCCCAGACAGATGGATCGGACGAAACGGACCGATACGATGGCCTCCACGCTCCCCTGACCTCAACCCCATTGATTTTTTTGTTTGGGGATATTTTAAAGACATAACATTCGCCCAAGAATGTGCAAATGAAAATTCATTGAGGAACAAAATTCAAGAAGCGACACATGTGTTGAAAAACAACACACAAGCATTTAGAGATTTAAAACAAAATTTCATACGTAGGTGTACACTGTGCATTTCTGTTAGAGGCAGACATTTTGAAAACCTCTTGTAAATAACATAAATGAATAATAATCTGCTGTTCAGTAAAAATCAAACGTGTTTTTGTGGTTTTTGCAAATTTTTTTTCCGAAACTAACAATTTCTATTGAGCAGAGGGTTATCCAATTTTGGGTTCGGTTCTATTTGAGCCACAATTACGGTAGCATGTAGTAAAGCTAGGTTGATGAAATTTTTACGGTAAATAGCTGATACCGTAAGGAAGTTTTTAAGATACTTACGAATAGTAAGAACATGTTTTTTCAATTTTTTATAAACGTTCAAAGTTGTTGCACTTTTTTACTTTTTTGTTATGTTCGAAGATTTTGAAAAAAATTAAAAAGTAGTATTAGTTACATGACTTGAATGATTATATGATAGTTAAGCCTTAGGTCTTAGCTACATAATCGTGAAAAAAGCAGGCATTTATCACAATTATTAACGAAGTTATGGTAAAAATAAACACAGAACTCAAAAATTCTCGAAAAATCCGAAAAAAAAATCATAACTCCTAAACTAAACAAAATCGGACCATATATATGGGGGTGATTTGGGTTCCTCTCGATGTGGGGAATCTAATTTTTTTTTATGACGTCACGTGTTTGGCCACCCTGTATACTCACGTTTATCAAGGCAGAAATGATATCTGTGTTATATAGGGATAAATAGAAAAAGAAGGAAAAAGAACGTAAATATTTATTAACCGTATTGCACATTGCACCCAATTTTTGATTTTGGAAGGTAAAATACACAAAAAATGTGTTCATCAAACAGCAGCATTAGCAGAATACCTGTTATTGAAAATAGTGGGACATCTTGATTGAATTCTAGTAGGTTTTTCTGAATAGTTGTTGTGATCCGAACAGATGCTTGACTAACAACAGACACCTACTAGTTGAGCATAATATGGAAATTACTGCTATTTTATATTACTCTCACTATACACCTATTTATCCAAAGAAAAAAATTAGAAGTAGTTTACTTACTATAAGATGAAT